ATGAAGAGCTCTGCTGGCAGAGCCTCGGCCTGGGGGTGGCCACCCAGGCCCCCTCCCATACCCCTCCTGGGCCCACTCCCCGCTCCTGGGTCCTCTTCCTCCTGTTTACACTCTGACTCAGTTTCCTCCATCATAAGGCACTGGGGAAAATGTGCCCAATTTCCTGAGTGGTGATTACTGGGACCGTGACAAGGGCCAGGCTGGGTACTAAGGGGCTGGCCAAGTGCAACCTGAGTCTGACTCGCCCTGGAGACCACAGCAGGAGGGAGAGAAAGGCTGGAGTTTTCAGAACTTTCTAGAAAAAGGGACTTTCTCTTAGGCCTTGCAGGAGACTTGGGAAGCATCAGCCTCATTCTGCAGCCTGGAAGGCTGTGATGGGGCAGAAATGGGGTCTCCAGCCTGCAGCCACATGGGGCTAATTTCCAGCTGCGTTTGCTCATGCGGCTGGCACATCAAGAGCATCCCCAAGGGACCTCCGAGGCCTCTTCCTCCCTGGCTCCTGTCGTGGGGGTAAAGTGGTTGAAAGTGTCTGTCTGTATGTCTGTCTGTCTGTCTCTCTCTCTGTCCTGCTCCCCTTTTTCCCGCTCTCTGGGCCATCAGGCTCCTGATAACGCTTGGAAGGCGCTATCGGCTGAAGCGTCCTCCTGCCCTAGCCCGCTGGCCTGCTCCAGGCTGACAGTTGGCAGCAGGCACCGTTTGATAAACTTATCAGGCTAAACCTTAGCACGGCCGCTCAGCACATGCCCCTGCCTCAGATTTCCCTCCTTCTGCCTTCCTGCAGCCCCCACTGTTGGGATCTGGACCTGTCAGGCTCCTAGCTAGGAGCTGGACACACCAGGGAGGTTGGAGGGGGCAGCCCTCCACCAGGGGGAGGAGGGCAGGAGAAAGGGCTGGGTGTCCAGTGTCCGCCCACTGCCCCCAAACCAGGCTCCCCCTTAAGGGTCCCACCCTACCTGCCACAATAGGAGCCAGAGGCCCTCAGGGGATTGGCCGTTGGTTTTAGACAATTACAGACCTCCAAGGTGCTGGGCCCTAAGCTGGGTGTTAGGACACGAAGGATGGGACCCAGTGCCAGCTGGGAGATGGTTCACGGGGTTGGGGAGAAGCCAATACTTGTCCAGGAGAGAAGAATCTGCCCAGGGAGCCACGCAGGGACCCTGACGGGAGCCTGGAGGGCTAGCAGCTTGCAGGGAGGGGCGGGAAGGCAAACCTCAAGACAGGAAAACGACATTTAAGTGGAGGGAGTCTTTTTTTAATGCCAGTGATAATGTTATCATGCATGCCCACTCCAGAAAAAGAAAACATACACGCTAAGAAATTAGGAGAAAAAAATGTGCGCAACCCTCTTTATTCAGCCACAGCCGTGTTGATATGCCCCTCTTTATCCTTACAAGCTTCCTTCCCTGGAAGTGTGTAATTAACAAAATGGAATCAATTGTATGGTATATACTGATTTTTAAACCACTTTTTCACTCAAGATATCATGAACAGCTTCCTATGTTGATACATTCATTCTGTAAAATCTATTTCTCTTCAATTTTTCAGTAAAAAAAAAATATGTGTGTGTGTATATATGTATATGTATATGTACACACACACATTTATATAAATCCAAGTCTCTTTTACAGAAAGCATTGAGACTGAAATCCAGGCCTCTTGCCCAGCCCCCAGAAACAACTGCTGTCAGTGGTTTGGTGGATTTTCAGATTTCTTTCTCCAAGCATCTACAAATGTACGCTGTGCCGTTTTTACAGAAGAGTCGTGAACCAGCCTCGAGGCCCCTTCTGGTCAGTCTGTGCAAACCGTCTGGCTCCTGTTATGGCTGATGCATGCCCACCGTCTGGAGGCACTCCTGGTCGCTCGGCCTGTCTCCTCTCTGGGGACTTTGGGTTGGTTCCAGGTTTTTCTCCCCCCATTACTAACGGGCTTCAGAAGATGGTCTTGTAGCTAACCTGTGTCCCCACCCCTATTTATTTAACATAAACTCCTAGGAGTGGAACTGGGGGTCAGCAGGGGAGCATGTTGAAAACTTTAATGCACTTGACCTGGGAGGGTTCAGAGGGCATTTGAGGCAGGGGGAACGCTGTGGGTAAAGATGCTAGGGTGAGAAAAGGCATGGAGAATTTTCTAGAGGCCTTCTGGGGGACTTGGCTGCTTGTCTGGAACTCCGGGGAAGTGGGCTGGTGTGGCCTTGATGTTCTTCCACGGCTCTCCCTCCACCTCCCCTGCACCCAGGGAGCCCTCCACTCCTTGACTGGCCCTGGCAGGGAGCCAGGGAGGAGCTCCCCCTCCAGCCCCCCGTGCCCCGCGGTGTTCCCCAGGCTGGACTGTGCATGCGCTGCAGATCGTCTTTGTAAAGCTCAGCTCTGATTCTCTTTGGTTCCTGCCCTGGTCTGCAAAGCTCTCAATGGCTTTGGTGTATTTAGAAGACTCTTCTTGGGTCTCTCCTGCGCACACAGCGCCTTAGATGGTGGGAATGTCAGAGCAGGCAGGGAACAGAAGAGCAGCGGGAAGGAGAATAGAGAACCCACTCCAATCATGGACAGCAGCCATGGGCCCCCACTGCACCTACTGAGCGAGACCCCAGTCCCAGTGAGGAGCATGGCCCAGCATCCTGAGGGAGAAAAACTTTGCCAGGGAGTTCATGGCATGAAAACCCCCACTGGTTTGTGGGCTCGTGTGTCTGCTAGCCTCCTCTGAGGGGCCACAGCTCTGAATGTGAAGCCCACCCTGCCTGTAACAGCCCTGGGCTTCCCTGGGAGGGGCAGTGGCACTGCTTCCCAGCTTAGGGCAGCAGAGCAGGGCACACTCTGAGCAGCCCCCCAGCCCCCTGACTGCCTTCCGAAGCTGGGGGTGCCCCCCACGGCCCAGTGCTGAATCTTCCTGAGAAGCAGGTTCCACAGCCTGGCCGCACACCTACTCCGACACTGGACACTGGCCCTTTTCTCAGCAGTGTGCTAGTGGGATTCTGCTCCGAGGCTGCTGCGGCCTCCCCGTCACTGCGGGCATGCAGCGGAGGGTCAGAGAAGCTAAATGTCCATCTCCCTGAACCTCAGCAAGTGAAGGAAGGTGAGAGCCTAGGTCCCCTGTGGCTCAGCTCCCCTTTCTTTGCCCCACCCCTGCTGCAGAAGTGGCCCAAATCCTACCAGTGGTGTGGTTTTGTTTAGCAAACAAGGAACATGCAAAGCAGCTTCCTGTGTGTGTATGTGTGTGTGTATGTGTGTGTGTGTGTGTGTGTGTCACCTTCCCCAGCACCCACCTTTGCCCCTGACTGGGGGTGCAGGGCCAGGTCCCACACCCAGGGATCAGAAGCCCATTCCAGGCCTGGTCCCGAAGAGCAGCTTTGGGAAAGTCCTCTGCTTCCCTGGGCCCCCTGTGTCCAGGGACAGGAGGGGGGGGAGCAAGTGGTCTCCAAGGGTTGTCGGAGCCCAGAGCGACTCCAGGAACTGGGAGCCTGCGGAGGAGGCCAGACCACCACCTATGCAAATGTCAACCACCACCCTGTTCCGCATACCTGGCAGGTTGTTGAGGGGAATTCTGGTTAAAGTAAACAGAAAGAGCCTCTGAAATGAGATGTACCATTGGGGTCCTGCCCAGCCAACCCCAGAGCCTGGGAGTCGTGGGGTGTGCCCTTCCTCAGGGGCACTGCAGGAAACTGCAGGTGTCACTGGGAGGAAGGGTGAATGGAGACTTGGAAGGAGACAGCCTCAACATTGAATCAGATTCCAATCCCAGTCTGCCCTTGCCTGCTGTGTGATCTTGGGAAAGCTGGCCAACCTCTCTGAGCCTGCTATCCCCCTATGAAATGGGATAATGACACCTCCTTGGCAGAGGGTTGTGCAGGTTAGAGATGTGGAAACCCTGGGCCCAGCTTGGTACCTGGAGGTGACTCATTCATATCTGTCCATTGCTGTGGCCAGGCATGGACTTGGTGCTGAGGGCTGGAGTCCAGGGAGAATGCCTCCTAGCAGAGGTAAAAGGTACCCTTCCAGAATCACTGGGTCCTGAGCTCTAAGTGAGGGCCTAAGGAGCTCAGTGTTCAGAGGAGGGAGAAAAACTTCTGGCTGGAATGACCAAAGGAGGCTTCACGGAGGAGGCAGCATTTGAGTGGGCCTTGTAAGATGGGCAGGATTTCAAAAGGGGGGTGGTTCATGGCCGGCAGCACTTACTACATGCTAGGCCCTGCTCACTGCTGTGCACACATGGGCTCAGGGAATCCTCCCAACAGGGGAAGCTCAGCCTGAAGCCACACTGCTAGCGAGGGGCGACACCCAGCTTAGTTGAATTACATCTGCAAAGTCCCTTTTGCCATATAAGGTGACAGTCACAGGTTTCAGGGACTAGGATGCAGGTGTCAGCTTTGGGGCCATTATTCTGCCTACCACAGTGACTACAGTAAGGACCCTGGGATGGGAAGACTACCTCCTGGGTTATCCTTGTGACCCTGATGTGAACCCAAAAGCCCTCACAAGGAGGACGCAAGAAGGTCAGGCAGGGTGAGATGGGAGGACGGCAGTGACCGTCAGAGGGACCCGCTGTGACCGGGGAGGAAGTAGTCGCCGGCAGGGAATGCACCGGCCTCTAGAAGCTGAAGGAGGCTGAGGAAACAAATCTTCCCCCTCTCCTCTGTCATCTAGAAGGAATCAGCCCTGATGACACTCTGAGCTTAGCCCTGTAAGATTCTTTTTGGGCTTCTGTCCTCCACAACCATAAGAAAATAAATGTGTGTTGTTTTAAGCCCCTAAGTCTGTGGTCATCTGTTGCAGCTGCCCCAGGAAGCGGGTACAGCCCCCAGCTGCCTTCACCTGGTCCTTCCCTGTGGTTTGGCCCACGGGGCTCTTAGGCTTCTGGTCCAGCACTTACCAGTTTGGTGTGGGAACATGTCTCCCACCTGGTCTGTGAGCAGCTCCACACCACCCCTTCCCAAAGCTTCACACACTAACTTGCACCCAGTAGGCATTTAATACACGCAGGTCAAATGTAAATAAATCTGTGTCTTTATTTTTATTTACAGCAGTGGCAAGGAACAGGCTTCTGACAGCAATAACTGCAGGCTTCTCTGGCCCTGTGGTCTGACAGTAGAATTGGAAACCCCGTGGCCAGCTGAGCGCTGGTCAGAAGTGGGGGGCAGACGGCATATCCGGCTGAAGCAGAGGGGCACTAGCCCCCCACTGGGGCAGGAGGAAGCTCTGACCATCCATGGCGACCAGAAAGAGGCCCCCTAAAATCCCAGGTGGTCAGATCCCAGCACAGAGGGCAGTGGGCAGGTGGGGGGAACTTCTTGTGGGCCCCAGTTCTCATCTGTCCTAGGAGCCCTGTCCACATGGGGCCTCTCCAGCCTTCTAGGCTCTGCCCTAGGGAAGGCACCCAAGCTCTTAGGCCTCTAGACAACTTCAGCTCAGAAAAGGCCCAACCCAGGTCCCACACTTTGCAGCAGCAAAATGTGGGTCCAGAGAGGGAAAGCAACTTGCCCAAGGTCACACAGCAATCTCCAAGTCTCAAAACAAGCTTGAAGATTCCCATCCAGTGCTGCCTCCAGGAGACTGGGGGTCTGGGAGCAGGAGGCTGGTCTCCCTCTGGGTTCCGGGACCTAAGGGCAGGCTGGCCGGGGTCCAGAAGCGGTGCAGCCTCACTTGAGGTGGTGCTGGCTCTCGCGGTGCCGCCGCAGGTCCACCTTGCGCTGGAAGCCCTTGGTGCACAGCTCGCAGCTGAAGGGCTTGAAGCCGGTGTGCTTCCGGCTGTGGGTGATGAGGTTGGAGCTCTGGCTGAAAGCCTTCCCGCACACCTGGCACTTGTGCGGCTTCTCACCTGCAGGACAGGGAGGGTCAGGTCAGGGCCCACCGCGCCAGGCCTGCTGCCCCAGAGCCCTGTGTCTGGTCTCCCAAACTTGGGTACATTCTCTGTCACTGCCAACCACACTCATTATGGAAAATAAGGAGAAAAGGGAGACCAGCAAAACTACAGCTCTGACGCCCCTAAACCCCCAGGTTGTCCCTGACCCAGGTTAGGTAGGAGCCGGTCCGTCTTGTTTATCAATCCAGCCCGGCACCTGGCCCAGGGCCGCGTGCAGGGGAGGCCCGGTCAGCCCGAGGAGCGCGAGCTGGAGGAGGGAAGGAAGGGTCAGTGCAAGCAGCTTCACCTGCTAGTCTCACTTCTGCCCAGAGATCGCCAGTGTTGGCCTTTCCTGTCTCCTTCCAGTATTTTTTCTACGCATCATGTGAATGTAAGTAACACAGTGCGTCCTGCCCTCCTGTTGCAGGGGAGCACGGCCCCCACTTGGTAACTTGACCTCCCCCCCGAAAGCTGGGACCTGTCGGCAGTGGCAGGCAGGGTCCCCTGGGGCTCTGCCTGGGCCCCGGGCGGCGGCCTCACCAGTGTGGATGTAAGTGTGCTTCTTCATGTCCGACTTCTGGTGGAAGCGCTTGCCGCAGAACTGGCAGGGGTAGGGCCGCGTGTCTGAGTGGATGAGCAGGTGGGTGGAAAGGGTGGACGAGCGCTTGAAGGCCTTGCCGCACATCCCGCACTCGAAGCTGCGCTCCTGCCGGAGGAAACGAGGCCCCGGGGGGTCAGGTGCAGGCGGGGCCTCGCGACCCGGGACTGCCACGCTGGGCGCAGGACTGGACCTGGCCGGGATCCCCTGAGGAACAGGACACTCTGTTGGGGTGGCCTCGAGGACAGGGCCTGAAGGAGCAGGACCCAGGGACCCCCATTCCTGCACCCCAGGAGGGACTGAGGCTTGGGGCCTGTGTGGGATTTGTCCTTGTAACATTCACAGCATCCACGCAAACTAAGCCTCGATACATGGTTATCGACTGACTCATGGAGCAACTGTTCCAGGGGCTTCTCTAGGCCCCTTAACCCAGAGTGAGTTCCTTGAGGCAGGGATGGTCACGGGCTGTGCAGTGGTTTGGTTAAGAGTCTGAATTATTGGGGCCCAGTTCTGGTTTCTTTCTCTGACTAGCCATGTGACCCTAGGCAAGTCATTTAAGCTCCGTGAGACTGTTTCCTCATCTGTACATTGGAATCGTAGTAATGACCTCAAAGGGTAGAAAACTGAGCCAACAGAGGGCACGAGGCCCGCGCTCACACACGGAAGCCCTCGCGATCATTTCCTGCTCTCCCCACCCAATGTGTTGTAGTCGTCCAGGTGCTGGACGCGGGCCAGCTTCAGGGGCTTTCCCTGGGATGGAGTCCTGAAGAAGGGGCTCCCTAGCCTAGGCAGGGTCAGCTAGGGCTAAGTGGATGAGAGGAACATTGAAGCCTGACCCCCAGATTCTCAAAGTCAAGAGCCTCAGAGCTGAGCACACCTGCCCTCAGTCATCTCACTGCCTCCAACATCCCACCCGGGCCAAGAGGCTCTTCCAGCTGTGCATAAAGCTACTCGGTCCACCAGGGAGTGCCATGTGTCAGGAGTGGGTGTTAGGGGAGGCAGATAGTGAGGGACCCTGATTTGTGTCAGTCACCCTCAGGGTGGGGTCAGAAACCTCACCATGGCCTCCTGGGAGAAGCACGGGGCAGGAGGGGGACCAGGGGTCCCTGTGCTTGAACAGCTGCCCACCTGAGAGTGGACGTGTGTGTGCTGCTCCAGGCTCACGGCGTGGCCGAACGTTTTGCCGCAGACGTTACAGGCGAAGGGCCGGGTCCCGCTGTGGGAGCGGCGGACGTGCACTTCAAGCCCATGAGGGGTGGAGAACACCTAGGGGCAGGGGGGCAGAGTGTGGGCCTGCTGTGGGCTGCAGAGGGAGGCTGGCTGGGGCCCTGTGGCCACCCCACCTCTGCGCCCGGCTGCAGGCTTGCATCAGCATGGAGCCGGAGAGCACTGGACTGCCGATTCTGCTGGCATTTGCTGTGTGTCCTGGGAAGGTCCTTTTCCCTCCCTGTCTGTGACTCAATTTCCTGTCTATAAAATGGGGCTTGAAGAAGCATCTACACAGCCCCTCTGAACGTATTAGAGGCTGAAAATTCCAGTGGTGAAGAGCTGGGAGTTGGACAGAACCAGGTGTGAATGCTGGTTCTGATATCTACTGTGTGCTTTTGAGCAAGTGACTCAACCTCTCTGAGCCTTAGCCCTTCATCCACCCCTCCCCCCGGGGCTCATGTGTATTAAGTGCTGAGCACATGGCAGGGCACATGGTTAGGGCTCAGTGAATGGCAGTGAGGACCGACATTATGAATCCTTGATTCCACCAGGGGACCCAAGATGCATAGCACAGTGTCATCTCACTGCCTCCAACATCCCACCCGGGCCAAGAGGCTCTTCCAGCTGTGCATAAAGCTACTCGGTCCACCAGGGAGTGCCATGTGTCAGGAGTGGGTGTTAGGGGAGGCAGATAGTGAGGGACCCTGATTTGTGTCAGTCACCCTCAGGGTGGGGTCAGAAACCTCACCATGGCCTCCTGGGAGAAGCACGGGGCAGGAGGGGGACCAGGGGTCCCTGTGCTTGAACAGCTGCCCACCTGAGAGTGGACGTGTGTGTGCTGCTCCAGGCTCACGGCGTGGCCGAACGTTTTGCCGCAGACGTTACAGGCGAAGGGCCGGGTCCCGCTGTGGGAGCGGCGGACGTGCACTTCAAGCCCATGAGGGGTGGAGAACACCTAGGGGCAGGGGGGCAGAGTGTGGGCCTGCTGTGGGCTGCAGAGGGAGGCTGGCTGGGGCCCTGTGGCCACCCCACCTCTGCGCCCGGCTGCAGGCTTGCATCAGCATGGAGCCGGAGAGCACTGGACTGCCGATTCTGCTGGCATTTGCTGTGTGTCCTGGGAAGGTCCTTTTCCCTCCCTGTCTGTGACTCAATTTCCTGTCTATAAAATGGGGCTTGAAGAAGCATCTACACAGCCCCTCTGAACGTATTAGAGGCTGAAAATTCCAGTGGTGAAGAGCTGGGAGTTGGACAGAACCAGGTGTGAATGCTGGTTCTGATATCTACTGTGTGCTTTTGAGCAAGTGACTCAACCTCTCTGAGCCTTAGCCCTTCATCCACCCCTCCCCCCGGGGCTCATGTGTATTAAGTGCTGAGCACATGGCAGGGCACATGGTTAGGGCTCAGTGAATGGCAGTGAGGACCGACATTATGAATCCTTGATTCCACCAGGGGACCCAAGATGCATAGCACAGGGAACACCCAGCTATGAACACCCACAGATGCCAAGGTACTGGAGAAGGGATGGTGGGCTGGCCTGCGAGCCTACCCAGACCCAGATGCTCACCTTGTTGCACTTGATGCAGTGGTAGGTGTCCATGCCTGGAGAGTAGCGGAGGCTGAAGTCCAAGGGTGGCTCAGCGCTGGGCACCAGAGGGCTGCCGTACAGGCTGACGGAGCGCTCCAGGAAAGCTGACTGCATGGTGGAGGGGGCCTGCCGGTAGCTGTGGCCATAGGATGCGGCCAGGGCATCCCAGGAGAAGCTGGGCTTGTAGAACGGGGGTGAGTCGGAGGGTGGCAAGTCCCTGTCCTGGGGTCGGGCTATCACAGCAGGGCCCTCTGTGGAGAATGGGACACATGTCTGGTTGCTGATTCATTTACAAATAAGGTTCCACTCCCCACCGCCCTCCGCTTAGTGACCTCATGCTGAGGATTTCCGTGTGTAGCCCAAACATTTACTGTTGGACTGGCTCTGAGCCCTCACTGTGGCTCCTCAGCTTTTCAGTCTGGAGATGCATCCCCGGGCCCTGCAGAGTGCCCACCTCGCCCACTGCATTGGCCTGCTGGCTGCGTCCTCTGCCCCACCACACAGAAGCTCTCATTTGGGAATGAGCTCCCCACCCTGGAGGGGTCCCAGCAGAAGCTGGAGAGCCCAGATTGCATCCAGGTGACCTTGCCCATCCTTCCTGACTGCATGGCTCCCAGGGCCCTTGCTTCCTGACCCACCCACACTCCGTTCCCCTTGCACTTGCTGCAGAGAGGCCGGGCCCCTGGGCTGGGTACCTGGTGCCGGGGCCGTCCTGGCCAAGCTCCGGTCCAGCTCTGCCTCTGGCTCCCGTTTGAGGTGGGTCCAATCCAGGCACTGGTTTGGGACCAGGGTGCTGAGGATGGGGCCATTGCTACGGACCTGGTCCTTGGCCACTGTGGGGAGACAGGACCCCAGAGCCAGTAGTTACAGCTCTGGGAAGTTGAGGGAGCCAAGGAGAGGACTCCCTTCCAGGAGAAGGGGCACCAGGGCGAGACCGCTTGCTGCCGCTCTGGCTGCTCATTCTAAGGGACTCTGCCCAGGGTGGTAGTTGCTGCGCGGGGGGCAGGCAGAGACCCCCAAGGAGAACTCTTGAGCCAGTCTCTGTTTTCCTAAGCGCCGGATCTCAGCCCTAGATCGGACCTTCGATCAGGACCCACCCGTCAGGTACTGCGGACCAGCTCCAACCCTGATGGTCTTCCCACCCCAAGGGGCCAGGAGAAAAGGTTGCATTCATTCATTCAACCATCATTTACTGAGCTCCAACCTGCTTCCTGACTTGGAGGATGGGTTGCCTTGGGTGGGATGCTGCTATATCCCCACCACACGGGGCAGGGGGCCCAGCCTGGGCGCTGACTCACCAGGGCTGATGGCAGGAGGCCAGACTGGCTCATCTTCCTGGGCACGAGGCTGGTGGTAGGTGTGAGCCTTCTTGCTCTTCACCAGGAAGGAGCGTGGCATTGTCAGCGTGCACCCCGCAGCTGCAGGGGGAGAGGGTGAGGTCAGGAGGGATGCAAGAACAATACTCCTGTGTATTTTAGAGCCTCCTCCTAAATTAGAATGCACTGTCCTGGGTGGAATAGCGTCCCCCAAAAGTTCATGTCCACCTGGAACCCTACTTGGGAATAGGGTCTCTGCAGATGTATTCAGGATAAGATGAGGTCATACTAAGGCCCTAAATCCAATATGACTAGTGTCCTTGTGAGTGGAGGGACGTGGAGACACATAGGCACAGGCACACAGGAAGGACCACCTGGAGACAGAGGCGGAGGTCCGAGCAATGTGGCTGTGAGTCAAGGGGCGCCAAGGGGCGCCGGCACCACTGGAGGCAGGGAGGGGGGCGTGCAGCAGACCCTCCCTCAGAGGCTTCAGGGGGAACTGGCCCTGCTGACCCTTTGAGTTTGGATTTCTAGACTCCATAACCCCAAAAGGATAAATTTGTGTTATTTTAAGTCACCTGGTTTGTGGTACTTTGTTATGGCAGCTACGAATCCTGGCTTCCTCACCGCCCCCTTGCTAGGAGCCAGATACACCTGCCTTCTAGAAACCCCCAGGCCAGCCTGCTCCCACCTGCATGCTCTAGCTGCGCTGGGAGGGGAGAAGGAAGGGCAGGGTCATCTCCACATGGGGCACACTGGGGACCTCATACCTGTAAAGCTGCATTTGCATCCTGGTGGGATCTGCAAATCCAGAGGCCATGGAAAGGGGGTGGTCTGGCCTCAGGTTTGGGAGTTAGATGCTCATGAGTTAGAATCCTAGCTCACCTGCTGTGCAATTTAGGGCAGATGCTTAACCTCTCTGGGCCTCCCCCTTTTGCTGTAAGGTGTGGTGTCCTGGTTTATAGTGCCAGCAAGTACATCATACGGGCTCTGTGCCTCTCACAAGGGGTCTGGCAGGCAGGCTGCAACAGGCGGCCACCGCGATTGCAAATGCACATTAACGGGCAAGCTGGGAGCTGCTGGGGTCAGAATAGGGCTGCACCTTGTCCACAGCCCCTGCCCATAGTCTGGTCCCTAGAGAGGGATGGGCCTTCTTTCTCTTGGTGGGGGTGGCAGGAGGGTTGGAGCTATGTGGGGTTCAAGGTCCAAGAGGACCACCCCCCTGCTCCCCCTCACCCAGAGGCCTGAGGCCATTTTGTGCACATGGAGGAAGAGGCCAATGTCCACCAATCCCAGGGCCCAGCCCAGCCCATCACTGAACCCACGGGGGGAAGACACCGAGGAACCGCATCAGTGAGGTGACCTGCCCTTGGTTCTGGGAAGGGGTGGAGAGCAGCAGAGCCAGGCAGGCCTGAACAGCCTGGTACTCCTGGTGTACAGTGCAGAACCCTCTGGGGCAGAGAGCATCGCCTGCCCCCTAAAGCATTTTGCATCCCTGTGCCCACCACGTGAGGCTCTCCTGAGGGCTCTGGGAATTGGCTCTTCGAGTGGTCCTCTCTCCTCTTCCCCACCACGCTGCACCCAGGCAAGAGCTCAGAGGAAGTGCTCAGCCAGTGCGGCCTGGTGGCTCCTCTGCTGGCCCCATGGCCCAGGCCTTGGAGGAGTGGTCCCACTGCCCTGGGCCAGCCACCATGCAGGGCTGCACGAGTGATACGGCCAAGCGCGGGCAGGGGTTATGGCTGCTCTGAACAACAGCCAGCCCTGGGTGATAAGGCCGTGCTGAGGAGCAGGCTGGGAAGAGGCAGATTAGAGAGGGTAGCATGGAGCTCTGCCTTTGGAGCAGGCCTGGGAAATCACCCCTTCCCCCAAGGGGATAGCCCAGAGCTAGACAGAAGAGGACACCCGACCATGCCTAAGCCTGCCTGCCCCTTCCCAGAGCCCTCAGGGGGCGTCGGGAGTTTGGGCCATGGCAGCTCCACCCAGGGGCAAGCCAGGCAGTGACCCTCCTTGCTGTAGGCCTTAATGTCCAGATCTGCTAGATGGGGATCACAGCCCAAATCCTGGGAGTGCTGGGTCAAGGCAGGACATTCTTTATTACCAACAGGCATGTAGAGTGCTTGGCGCTGAGCTAAGGGCTCAGCCGGCAGGGGAGCAGCGGCCAGAGGGCAGGCACTGCCTGCGCCCTGCCCTGTCCCACGGCATCCCCAGCCCCTGGCCCACAGCAGGTGACTCCAAGCATAGGGACCAGCCTGGACCACCTGCTGGGGACATGCCCCAGGCCCTTCCCGTCTGGGCTCTGAAATGAGGAGGTGGCACTCGAAGGCTTCTGGGGTCCCATCCAGCTGTCAGATTTTGGCTTCACAGGGCGGGCCTGGCCTGCCATCCTCCGCAGGCTTGTGGGGCAGCCTGCGGTGGCCTTATCTCCCAGGGACACTCTTCTTCCTCCTGCCCCTTCCCCCTCCCCCGCCAGGGCTCCCCACACCCCCTTCCTTCCCCCTTCTAACTGGGCTTCAGGAACCTCCCTGGGGAGGCCAGACCCTGGGCAGAGTGGGAGGACACCCCCGAGCTGAGGGAGGGCTGGGGGCTGGCTTCCTCTCACCTTTTGCTCTGCAGAGGCTTCTGAGGGCTATGATCTGTCTCTCTATAAAAAGGCTGTGTATCATTTCTCAGGCAGTATTTTATTAGTAGATGAGTTAGCAACAAAGGTGGGCACTACAGCCACCACGCTGGAACGAAAGCCTCCCTTCAGCCGGAGCTGCACAGCCTCAGCTCCGCTGATTCTGACCTGTGAGCTGAGTCGCTGTCACCACATTTCTTAGAGGAGGGGCCCGGCTAAAGGCCGGCTGGAGGTCCCCCGGTAGCCATGCTCCTGAAGGCAGACAGTGGGTGGGCATTTATTCAGTGTGGCAGGCCCTGAGCTGACACGCGGAGGATGGGAGGGCATTTAAACCTCCCTGGTACGTGGCATGGCATTGAATCTGCCACCCACTGGGGTAGGGGAGGCAGTGATTGTCTTCCTGGGGCACAGGGGAAACCGAGGCTGGGAGAAGAAAGTGGCTGGCCCAGGGTCTCGCAGCAGAGCCAGGCCCAGTGCTCCTGTCCTGCCAGGAGGTGGCTCGTGGCCTGGTGCCCTGCCCATCTGCATCTGTGTGTGGCCCTTGCAGCAGCTGATGAAGACAGCCTGCCTGGAGCAGGGAGGGCCAGGCTGGCCAGCTGGTGGGGCAAGATGGTGGAAAACCCAATCCCCCTGATCTTCACATCTTTCCGGAGCCCAGAGGGCCCCATGCGGGTTCCTGAGAGTTTCAGGTGTGGAGGCCAGTGAGAGGACGGACCCCTTAGGAGGCTTTGGTGTTCCCTCGGGCTCAGGACCTAAAGAGACCCTAGAGGTCCATGGATTCAAAGGCGGGACAGCACACGAGCACCCCCAGGGCTTGTGGGCACTCACACAGGGGAGCAGGGGCCCAGTTTCCGGGAGGCGATGCTTGGGGCTACTCTAGTGATCCCCCAGAGCCCCCAGTCTCCTGCCCAGAAGGGTGTCTCTGCTAATCCTGGCTAAGTGACTGCGGTGCAGCCGACCCCATGGCCGAGCCTCCCAGTGCACAGTCAGGGCCAAATACAGGGGGAGAACTTCCTTTGGGCCCCTGTTGGCTGAGTTCAAAAAAAAAAAAGAAAAGCAGGAACGAATCACCTGTACTGTAGTTAATGAACAGCCACACCGTTCTGATTCACACGAACCCGTTCTGAGAAAGAGCTAAGCGCAGAGATTGTGAAAGAACCCTAAGATTTCTTCATAAAAGAGCCTTGATGATATCGGGCCTCCGGAAAGAGACCCACTGTTAACATCTCTTCAAAAACCCCCAATCCCGATAGAGGGTCCCTTGACCCCAAGTCAGAATCTCAGCCAGGGCTTCTGGTGGGGGGGCAGCCTCGTACCCTCGCTCCCAGGTGGGGCCAGAGCCACAGGCCTGTGATTTCTGCACAACAAGGCCATGTGGGCCTCCTTGCGCTGAGTCTGATTTTGTGACTTGGAGCTTGACCATGTCAGCCTCCAGCCTGGGGCTTGGTTTTCCTATCTCTCAAAAGGGACGGTTGGACTAAGAGATTTCTAAACTTCCCTTTTGCTCTAAAATCCCATGCACAGTTCGTTGACCTTCAGCGCGGGACTGACCCACCTTGGCTGAGAAGCATCGCCTGGGTTCCCTTTTCAGGAGGGTTGGGTAAGGCTCCGTGGTTTCTCAGAGTCAGTGACAGAGGACCCTTTGGACTTCCTTTGTGTTTAAAGATGTGACTCAAGGGGAAACAAACAGAAAAACCTTCCCTGTAGGAGTTGGGGGAGATTATCCCAGGCCATTTTAAGGGCTCCAGCAGAGAGTAGTCATTGTTTTTATTTGAAATTTGGAAGGGGTTTTCAAATGCCTCCAAAGTTCAGAGAACACAATGTCAAAAGTGAATCAATCCACTTCTGGGGGTATACCCCAAAGCATTGAAACCAGGGACTCTGATATTTGTACACCCAAATTTATAGCAGCATTATTCCTGGCAACCAAAAGAGGGAAGCAACCCATGTGTCCATCAACAGATAAATGGATAAACAAAATGTGGTATAGACATACAATGGAATATTATTCAGCCATAAAAGGAAGGAAATACTGACACTTGCTACAACATGGATGCACCTTGAGGGCATTGTGCTAAACTCAGTCTCAAAAGAACAAATACTGGATGATTCCACTGATAGGAGGTCCCTAGAGTCATGGAGTTCATGGAGTCAGAAGGCAAAAGGTGGGGACCAGGGGCTACGGGGAGGAGGAGGAGGTGTGGGTGTGTGATGGGGACGGAGTCTCAGTTTTGCAAGATGAAAAGAGGTCTGGAGGTGGGTCGGGGGCTGCACAGCAATGTGTGCACATAACACTACCGAAATGTGTGCTTAAAAATGGTTAAGAGGGTCCGTTTCATGCTATGTGTATTTTAGCTCACTAAAAACAGAAATGAGTGAAACATTTCCTGAGCATCTCTGAATTAGAGACTTAAAGCAGCATCCATTGGTTTGCATTCCTGGAAACAAATGAACAAAAACTTCCCACTGGACTGGGGAGGGGCAAGGTTTTCTGTTGTTTCTGGAAAGGGTGGAGTGGCTGTGTCCCAGGGAAGCATCGAGTGTGATCAGGGTGCCTTCCCGGGGCGGTCCTCAGTTGCACCCGGCACCGCCCCCGACAGCCAGGAGAGGAGGGTCCGCCTTGGGTCTGAGTGAGCTCTCTGATGTTCCCCGAGAACCCTCTGCCAGGAAACCAGACTGCCGACCCCCAAATCTGAGTCAGAAGAGACCACACGCATGTCCTTACCCAGAGTCCCTCTGCTGCACCTGTGAGGATAGGCACCTCGCCACTTACTAAGACTGACATGGTCTGCCTTATGCCTCCTCAGAAATGTGCAGGAGTGAGGCGGGCAGGTGCAGCTGAGCTAGCTTCCACCAGATCCACGTCTATAGGCTGCAAATCAATTTGTGTCCCCTCAGGAATCTCATGGAAGCTGTGGACTCTCTCCTCAGAAAAATGTACCCAGGCCCACACCCATAGCAATTCCACGGACCCTTAACAGGACTAACTTGAGAGCAAGCACCTCTCCCCTGGCGCCCAGACTCTTAACCTGGATTTTCCCTCAAAATAGGTAGAAAAGGCGGAGCCACTACATCCCTGTCCTTAGTCCTCGTGTTTCTGGAGGCTGGGGGCAGTGGGTGTGTGGGACAGGGGGAGCTGGGGATGAGGCAGAGATGGCAGGCTCCCTTTTCTCCTTAGGAGCATCTTGGTAAGAAGGCTCCTCATTCTCAAAGAGTCCCGGGAACTTCGGTGAAAGTCACCTGGGACCGTGGGACACTGGGGATAGATCTTCACTGAGTTCTTTCAACCCCACTCGCTTATTTTATAGACAAAGAAAGGCTCAGAGTGCTGGGCGAACAAGCCAGTTTGTGCCCAAGGGGAGACATCAAGTCAGACACCTTGTGCCAGGTTCCTGGGAGACCTGGGTGTACACAGAGGGGATAGCTATCCGCACCACATCGAGTTTCGAAAAGAGTGTCTATATACAGTTGGAGGAAGGCATAATTCCTAGACAGTCTCACTGCATCTCAGATAAGACTCTTCTCACTACGTCTTGGCCCCTGGGTTCAAGGGCTGAAAGCCACATACGATAAAAGAGTTTCCAGCCCACCTGACTGGCCCTACAGCTGCAAAAGGGTCCAGGTGACCTGCCTGGAAGCGACTGAGGGCAGACCTGCAGATGCCAACAGCAGAGGCAGGGCGCGATCCGGGGCACTCACCCGTCCGGCTGCCGTCTGCCGGCCCCTCCTGCGCGGGAATCTCGCGGCCTCTCTGGGTATCGGCTCCACTCTGCCAACTTCGTGACTCTCTGCACAAACAGATACTTCTCCTTTTTTTTTTCTCTCTCTCTCTCTCTGGTTTTTTTTTTTTCCCTCTTTTCCCCTCCTTGATTTCCAATCTGATTATTTGTGTCAAAATCTGGCAGTGGAGGAACAGCCAATAGCAAGCGCGCGGGCGCAGGGCCGTATTTGCTTATCAAAGCCTCCCGGGACCGGGCACTTCTCAGTTCTGACCCGCCACTCTGCGGGCAGGACTCGCTCTCTCCGGAAATTTTGAATAACATCTGGATGAAAAGAAAGTAGTAGCTAGCTTCTCAATTTAAAAAATTAAAGTCAAAATAAAGCATTCATTTACAGACCTGATTTGTACAGAGAACTGATAACTTTTCTGCCTCCCTCCCTGCCCAAGTCCAGCGTCCGCTGCTGCCAAGCCCTTGGCTTGGGGGCTCCGGGGACCGCCCTTAGAAGGGCCCCCCTTGTCCTTGCAGGGGTCACCTCCGAGAAGTCACGCTTCCCCAGACTTGGCCCTAGAACCGGGGGAGAGGCGGCCGAGGTGCGGTCGTGAACGCGGGTGCCCCGCGAGGCAGCCGGATCCTCAGCCTGCTCAGGCCCACGCGCAGGTCGCATTCTGGGTCCCAGGGCCTGTGTGTGCCGCCATCTGGTGGCCGAGGAGGAGTCCAGGGGAGTCCTCGGGCACCACCGGGAACGCGGGGGTGGCCAGGCTCGGACACCTCGCCCCATTTGGCCAGGAGCCCCATCCTGATCCCCCCACCTCCTTCCCCCTCTGCCCCTCAAGCCTCTGGTTTACAGGGTGACTGATTTATTCCAGGAGGTTTTGCATAAGGGGGGGAATCAAAACAAAAGCTCTGTTAGACCGATTTGCATGCTCTTCCAGCTCAGCAAAGGAGAGATTACGTTTCCTTCATAAAGAAAACAAGTTTGGCGACAGGAAGGCTCAACTTAAACTGCAAGTTCAAGGTCTGACACGAAGAGAAAGTGGGTTTTGGGGTGAGGTTTTTCTGCTGCTAAGCCTGGAGGTCCCACGGGGCTGCGTGACACCGTGGGGGTGCAGGTCCCAGCCTTAGCCACGCACAGGGGACAGCGACTCCCAGTCCTGTTCCTCTTGGTGGAGAGGGATTAGTGGGAACACCTGCGATATTATTTGGGTCGTGCACGTGGCCAACAGTCCCCTGGAATGGTCTCTTAAGGGCCGAATGACCTCAGCACCCCTGTGCTTGTCCGTGCTCTCATTCACTCCAGCCATTGTGGGTGCATCGTGCGCCAGGTTCCTCCTTCATCCTCTTCCTCCCCGTCTCAGCGCGGCTGCCATAACAAAACACCACAGACTCGGTGACTTAAACAACAGCTGATTCTCACAGAGGCTGGGAGGTCCAAGATCACGGCACCTGCAGAGGCAGTTCCTGGTGAACACAGCTTTCTGATTTACAGATGGCTGCCTTCCCACTGGGTCCTCACCAGGCAGAGAGAGAGAGAGAGAGAGAGAGAGAGAGAGAGAGAGAGAAATGGGAAGGAGGGAAAGAGAGCAGGCAAGCTCTGGTCTCTCTTCATCTTACAATGACACTGATCCCATGATGGGACCTCATGACCTCACCTGGTCTAATTACCTCCCCAAGACTCCACCATCTCCTACCACCACCACCACCCTGGGGACACAAACATTCAGCCTATCACACTCTCTAGGCTAATAGGTGTTTCCTGTATGCCCACTAGGTACCAGGTGCTGGGGTTTCAAACAAAAACCAGCTAGAATTTTCCTGGTCTAGCAGGTGGAACAGAGCACCCTGCAACTGACAATCTGAGGTGATGAGTGCTGTGATGTTAACATGGTGTACAAGGGGGAAATGGACCCAGAGTTGGACGGCTCGTGAAGAAAGGGACACTGAAGCTGACGCCAGGCTTTGCTGGCTGGGAGAAGGAAACCAAGCACAGAGAGCTGCAGGCCAGGACCTGCGAACTGACAGCCCTAGTGTGGGTGGAGGGTGAGGACTGAGGGGGAGGAGGAAAAGGCAGAACTTTCAAGAGTTGAGCCAAGAGAGGAAAGAAGGAGTGCGGCCAGGCAGATGCCTCCCTGGTTTAAAACCTCCAGTGATTTCCCTCTGCCTAACAGGACAAAAATCTCAGCTTCCGGGATTAGCACTCAGAAGTGTTTTACAGTGTGGGAACTCTTTCCAACGATGGCACTTTTTCCGATGCAAGTGGCAGAAACCCCATTTCAACGAGTTTAATAACGGGACCATCAGCTCACGTGACTGAAAAGTTCCAGCTTCAGGCATGCTTGGGTCCAGATGCTCAAATGGTATTGTCTGGATCTCATTCGTTTCTGCATTTGTTGTCCCCCTTTTTCCATGGCTGACCCCTTCTCATCATTCAGGTCTCAGCTGAAATGTCCCAACTGCAGAGAGACCTTCTTGGCCATCAACTGAAGCAGGACCTTCCCACCTCAGCCACTTTTGGTTCCATCATCCTGCCCTTTGTTCTTGTTGGCATTCAGAATTATCTGAAAACATATTATTTCTGTCTTACCTTCTTACTTATTTTTTGGCCTGACTGTCCACAAGGAGCGTAAACACTTTTCAAGAGAAGATGGCACTTCTGCCTGGCTCACAGTTGAATCTCCAGTGCTTAGCACAGTCCATGGTAGACAATAATAACGTATTTACAGAATGGATGGATCCATCAATGCATGCGTATCTCTCGCCATCTCTCGGCTTTGCCTTCTCCTGGGCTGGCTTTATGGGGTGGGGGGTGGGGGGCTGAGATCACCAGCACCCCTGGCTGCAGTCCACGAGCTTCGTTAGAAACCCCTGCCGTTTCTGAAAGGAGCCCAGGACTGACTCTGATTGGTCCAGCCTGGTCACGGGCCCCACCCTGCACCAATCGCTGTGGCCAAGGGGGGATGTGCGTCTTTCATTGGCTGGGGCTGACAGACCCTCCTGCCACTTGGACTAAGGATTCTGGAGGTAGGGGTGAGTTTGGGAGGACAGGGCAGTTGTCCCCACACAGAATGGCCGGAGAAGCGTTTGGAAGCATAGCTTCCACCTTCCACTTTCTGTCTTCTGACTGTTGTCTCTTGAGTGTGCTGCATTCTTTCCTGCTGGGGACCAAACCCCAGCTGTCTTTGCCCTTCCTGTTCCCCCAACCAGCATGTTCTCTCTCTTCAGTCTTTTCACAGCCCAATTCAGCTCTCAACTCCTGCAGGAAGATTTCCTAGACTCCCACAATGCCTGGGGTCTCCTGTGGCATAGAGGATTCAGCCCACTCATGACAACCCGCGAATTCTTGTCTTGCTTTGTCAGTCATGGGCACTCAGCTGCTTCTCGGTGACAGCAGCATCTATCTAAGGGTGTGGAGTCCTCTCTCGGCAGGCACCGTGGACAGACTGACCTGGGTAAGGCTGGCCTGCAGAAACGGTGATCAGGCCCAGTAAATGGGAGCCGCTGTCAGCAGGGACCTGGCAGGGTGCAGGCCCCGAGTGGGCGGCAGAGACATCTCAGGTAAGTGCTGGTGGGCTCGGAAGCCCTGAAGGTGGGGAACGCACTGTGCAGGGCTGAAGGCAGGGTCCCGGCTCTGGTTCCAGGACCAGCTGGCATTAGCTGTGTGACGTTGAGCACACTTTTCCTGCTTGGTTGGAATGACTACAGAATGCCGAGTGCAACAAACATGAGCTGAGCCTCTGCACCTGGGAACTCGAGGATAGATCTGGTGGTTCCTGCCCTGGGGGTTGAGGGCTCTCAGCGAACCTGTTGCGCCCTGGAGCCACCCTCCTCTGCCCACCTCTTAGTGCCAAAAAAGAGCCCATCAGCTGTCCTGCTGAGACTCAGTCATTCAGGGAGATTGTGGAGCCTTCCCAAACCCAGCTCCTTGCCAAGAGCTGCAGGCAGCTGAGGTGGAGGGAGCCCCGCTTGCAAACGCTGGCTGCCACTCCCAGATGGCGCTGCCCTGCTGGCCCACAGCCCAGGCGCCCCTGCTCCGCGGGAGGAAGCTATTCACCGGGTCGCCACGCGGTGGCGCCCCTGCCCTTTCTCCTCCAGCAAAAGCCAGCCTGAAAACCGTCGTCTGATTACTGCTTAAATTCCAAGAGCTGTGTATGATCAGAGAAGAAAGAGGAATATGAAATTCACTCCATCTTGATGTGTACAATTTTAGTTTTTCTTTTTCCTTCCCTCTCCCCCTCCCTCTCACCCCCTCTGTCCCTCTCTCCTCTCTCCACACATGCGGTGTGGTGTGTATAATGTTTTCCAGTTCAAACAAATTGAGCTGCCCTTTGCCATTGGGTACCACACAGTGAGAAAATACGTCCTCCGATCTGAAAGGGGGACTCCAGCAACCCTGGCTGGGTGTCACTCAGGGCGCACCGGGACCCTGTTTCTAGGTCTAGGAGATAACAAGCTGATCTGAAGCCACATGCTCCTTCTTCCCCAACAGTGACTTCTCAGCTGGGAGGCCTCCTTAGAAAGTCTCCATCCGATTTCCTCAAGTGAACATGACACCCTCCGTCAGGCCAGAAGGACTGGGGAGGCAGGGTGGGGAGACAGTGTGACTGCAGATCCCCATGTCAGCCACCTGAGGCTTCACAAGGGGAAACGGAGGCCTCGAGAGAGGTCTGCCAAGGTCACAGTGCTCCTGAGAACAGAGCCAAGGCCAGGACCCCGGTCTCCTGACTCCTCCTGAAAGCCCGTCCAAGTGGCGGCCGTGGGGGTTCTGCCTCCTATCTAGACATCTCATCTGTGTTTCATAGAACAGCCCCCAGTGGAATCAGCAGAGCAGATAACGTCTGACTCCCCAGAGTCACGGGTGAGATGGAGGCATCATTCCGGCCTTTAGACCTGGGACGGCAGCCTGCTCTTCACACACACCAGCTGTGTAACCTTGGCCTGGCATTGGCTTCCCCTGATCTTCACACTCAACAGCTCTAAAATGGGGCTAAGGAAAATGCTTCCTCTACGGTTGTTACGGGTTGCAAATGAAATAATACATGCCAACACATTTCATAAATGCTAAAATGCTTTAAATGTGTGATGTTATTTCTCGGCAGAAATGTTCAGCCGCTGGCTGTAGAACTCTGCCCCTCATCTGTTTAATTGCATGGTCAAGAGCAGCCTTCACTGCTGGGGCCAAAAACCAACCAAACAAAACAAGCAGAGCCGCGTCAGCCTGAGTCCTACCTGGTGGGTTGGGCTAATTTACATGGCAGGTTGATTATTAATGAAACACTGCATTTGTTTACTGCTCCAGAAACTCCCCATGACTTCCGTGTTTGCATTCTCTGGGAAGCCTATTTGGGGGCTACAGACACGGAGGAGGGAATGAAAGCTTTGTGAACATTGACCTGGGACAGATAGAGTGGAGGGGCTTTACGAGCCTGTCTCTTTTAGTCCATTGGAGCATTTTGCCACTTGGAAGTATTGACCAAATTGGGAAACCAAGACCCCGCCCCCAGGTACAGCTGGCACCACAGCCA